TTTTTTCGATAGTAAAAACATTACGATTACTAAAACTAATTTAAAAAAACTATTGCTTTTCGCCACTTTGCAAACATAATTTTTTTTTAAAGGACCAACTTATGTGTAAATCAATGGTGTAGCAATGGGTTGTCCAATACTCGAAACTACTCGCCATCTTAGGACCCAATTATCTGAACATTACAAGAGGGAAAAAAATTCTCACATCAATAAACATCTCAATTCTAATAAAAAATGTTTCATGCAAATAAATGACAAGTGTATTTCTGTGTTAGATTCGGCATCTAATAAAGTTGAGCTAAAACTTAAAGAAACTATGTTTATAGAATGATAAAAAGCTGATATTAATAAACAGGGTAAACATGTACAAATGACACTTCCTGTTTAGCTGGTATTTTTTATAAATATTGCGTATCTTTTTAACCTATTCTTTTGTTACTTCTTATTTCATTTGTATGACATAATATGTTTTATAAATGACTTTATTGTATTTTTGTAATTATATTATTATTAGTTTGTACAAGAGTAGTTAATTTTTGTATTGTTTTTTGTTAACACTTTTATAGGTATTTTAACAAATTTTAAACATTTAATTTTAACTGAAGTCTATTCTATGCAATATACAACAATTTATTTAAAAAACTGTTAATAAAATAAAACTTTAAAGGGTTTAGACTTAAGACCCTAAAACATTAAAAAAAATTATTTTTAAAAAGTTCATCATGTTGCTTTTTTAGGTTAGGATTTATAAGGTAATGTTTATAAAAGTTTTAAACATAATTATCATTTTATATAGAGATTACTAGTTCAAGTTTTATGGCTGAAAAATAATCATTCTTTTATAAGAATTTATACCTACATATTTTTGAAGTTTTTTTTTAAAAACTATTTTAATTTAAGTTTTTTTAAATTGTTTTTATTATTTTGAAAATTTGTATAAATTTCATTTTTTTGAGACCCAACATTATATAACTTTAATGATTTTATCTAAGGATTTTTTCTAACACATGGTGTTGATAATAAGCCAACTTATGTTTTTTGATGCGTTCCTTTGTAAACATTCATTGCAATATCATGCAACAATCATATGTATTAAATTCCATAATTAAAATTCACTGGGGACTTAAGATATTTCTTGAGCAATAGTTGAAGCCCTGCCATATACCGAGCCAGGATATCCAATATCATTTCTCTTCTTTCATTTTAAAGAAAGACCATTTGATAATCAACTCTGTCGATGTGCTTGCCATCAAAGTGTAAAGAACAACTTTCTATTTGCAACTTTTGAATCATATCTTCCTTCTGCTTGAATGCTTCTTTGATTGTTGACTTGTAAATAGCTGATTGATATGGAGTTGGGATAACAATGCCATCACAAGCCAAATGCTAGCAAATGTTAACAGCTTTGTTTGCTGATCCTTTTGTGGAGGTCGTCATGTTGAATGCAATTTTGTTTTTATAATATTTTCTGCTTGGTGTAGCAATCGTCTCATTTTCTTTATTGTTTTCATATTCACTGTCGTCAGCCTTTGAGTCAGAATCTCTACAACCAGAATAGTAAGGTGATGATATGGATGATTTATTAAAAAGTCACTGCTTTGTAGAGGGATAGATTGTTTCTTCAATGGCTGCGTGGCTGTTAGAGTATCCTACTGTATTTTTGCTTTATACTTGGATAAGCTACAATTGTTTGTTTTTGGAAGAAAATCATGTTCTGTCCACCTTAATGATGTATAAAACTTATCTTGGGGCACGTAGCTTATTAGCTTGATACACTCATTATAATATTTTAGCATTTTATCAACCTTAGCTCGTATAGTTTGATCAGATACACAAAAAAAATCCAGTTTATTCTTATACAACTTTGTGATCTCTCTGGAAATTATATGGCCGTCCAGAGAATTTCTTTGCAAATTCTCTGGACGGCTATTCGTCCCTTTTTTATTTTGATTTTTAGTCGTAGGAAATTAGAAGCGTCCAATAGTTTGCATTCTGCACTTTTGTTCCAGTGAACTTTCGTCTAAAGAGATCTTTTTTTTTTACGAGAGTCTTTAAATTTTACCAAATAATTGTTCCAGACATTCTTGTTCTTTAGAAAATTACAATCGCTAGGTTTATACGACGGCAAGTATTGCTTTTGTACTAACTATAAAGTTAGACTAGCAGTTATATTTTCTAAAATATTTAAAAGGCCTTAGCAAATCTAATCTATGCAAGTTTTAAATGATTTGCAGGAATACCACGCGTATTAGTAGTAGCAGTAACAAGATTAAATAAATAAAGAAACGTTATATAAATTGCGGGGTGACTTTTTCTTTACAACCAAGAGGAAATGAATATGTTTTCACAGGAAAAAAAAAATTTTGAATTTTTTTTGTGTCATAAATCGATGAACTTTTATTAACATTTAAAACATTTCTATTTTCCCTCAGTTGTAAAAAAGAACACCCTGCAATTCAAATTACGTTTTGTTATTTTAAAACAACGTTACTACTATTACTAGTACGTGTGGCTTTACTGCAAATCATTTAACACTTGTATGGATTAAAAGTATTTAGTACCTTAAAACATTTTGAATACTAAAAGAATATTTTAAAAAAACTTAAAAAATTCTATATCTATTTAAAATATTCTCTAACAATTTTGAACATTCTAAAAACTTTTAAAGGATTTTCAAACTTTCTAGAACAATTGAGAACTTTCTTAAATATTCTGGAACAATTTAGACTATACATAGCTAGCTACAGAAAAAACACATGGTGTCGTACAAGCTTATCGAAAGTAGCATTCAAAAGAACAAGGATGTCTAGGCCAATTGAGACTCTCATTTAAGAAAATTGGTCCCTTTGCAAGAAAATTCAGTAGAAGAAAAGTCCGGAACACCTCTTAAAAGCAAATTAACGGATGCTACCATTTCCTAAGATCAATAATCAAAGTAAGAAAGGATCAAACAGCGGAAACTTCCAAAGAAGTTACCAAGTTTTGAAAAAGTCACTTGAAGTTAATTCATTTACCTGATCAAGTTATACGAGCAAAGATTCATAAAGTACTGAAATGTTATATTGAATGTTTCAAGCAGGGGAGCTACAAACCTCATGAAGAAGCATTTGATATTGCTAAAGTGGACGGAATATGTTTATCTTCCGAGGACAAAGGATTGAACTATCTCCAAGTGGAAAGTAAAGGAACAGTGGGATTCTATATAGGCCACGCGGGCAATAAATAACATAACATCCCTCTACAAAACAATAATTTCCTAATAAGTCATCAAACTTATCATTTTACTATCCTGTTTTAGCAATACAAAGTCGGAGGCTGACGATAGTGAATATAAAAAAAATTCCTACACCAAGCAAATAACATCAAAAAAAGCAATATATATATATATATATATATATATATATATATATATATATATATATATATATATATATATATATATATATATATATATATATATATATATATATATATATATATATATATTTGTATAATAATGATAATATTATTAATAATATCAGTTTACTGTGTGACTGGACCCTTGAAACAAGCGTCTTGGTAAATCTATTTCTAACTACCTTTTTATATATATTTTTTTATTTTATCTGAGTAATTTGCAAAATATAAAAATATTCATCTATATATTTATTTATAATTAAAACACTTTATTTATTAAAAAAAGGAACGATATATTGATCTTTTCAAAATTTGAAAAATTATTATAAAAAAGAAAAAAAAATCTTTATAACACAACTTATTTACTTAAAATATATATATATATATATATATATATATATAATATATATATATATATATATATATATATATATATATATATATATATATATATATATATATATAATATATATATATATATATATATATATATATATATATATATATATATATATATATATATATATATATATATATATATATATATATATATATATATATATATATATATATATATATATATATATATATATATATATATATATATATATATATATATATATATAAAAAACAAAAAAAAAATTATTTGTAATTTTGTAGATATTTATATATGCAAAATAACAAAAAACAACAATATAAACAATTTTTTTTTTAATGTTTTTCAAAGTCTACTAAACTAATTAGTTAGATAAAAATAAAGCATATGTAACTCAATATTGACAAACGGGTATTACTAAAACATTCTTTTCCAGTTTCACTAATTTTAAATAATTTTAAGTATAATATTTATGACCCTCCGGCTTTTTTTCAGCGCATTTTAAAAGAATCATTATTAACTTTAATCATTATTAATCATTATAATCAAAACTTAACGAGAGACATTCTTTTATAACAATAGTTATATTCATATAGATGCTACATTTGCTTGACTTTGTAAGAAAAACATGTTTAGTCCACTTTTATGATGTATAAAACTCATCTTGGGGTGGGTTTTTAAAGAACCATTAGTTATAAATTAAGAGATTCATAAACACTTAACAAGACCCAAAAAAAGGTCGTGTCATATTTAACTCACGCTGCTCTTTTCAATATATATCATTATATAGTCTCTCTTAACGCAAAAGGGCTAAGTTAAGAATTTTAGAGAATTTTTGAAACTTTTTTTTTTATTTTTGTTAGTTTTTGATGTCCTAAATACTTTAAAGTATTTAAACACATTATATGTATTTAGTTTTATTACAAAGTGCACTTGTGAAAGTATTAGGTATTGGTTAGTTTATATTTAAGTTTTTGCAAAGCCATTGGATATGGCTTTTTATTTTGTAAAAAAAAAAAATAATTATTAAAAAAGGTACAATGATCAATATTTAAACAATAATGAATAATTAAACAATGTACAATTAGACCGTTGTGTCTGCCATAATTGTTATTTTTATTTTCAATTATAATAGAGGCATCTATATCTATTTATATTTCAGAAGATATATAGCTTTTAAAAGTAAATGTATTGCGTTCTAGTCTTTTTATACCATTATCAGTATAGTATGATTGGTTTTAATATTTGAAAGTATTATGTAAAAAAAGTATTATGTCAAAAAAAAAATATAATATTATACTTTTTTTGTTAATTTTAACATAACATTTAGAAAAATCAAAGTCATCAGATATAGACACCAAAACTTTTGTTGAGAAAGGTACTTATATATTGTAGTTTAAATAAATATACTTAACATTTTTATTAATTTAAATGAATAAGAAAATATTTGGTTTTAATTTGTTGTGTTTGCCTGTTATAGCATTAACAATGATATAAATCTTGCTGCAACATTAAATATAATAGTATTCTTCATAGTTGTTATGACCCGTAAAACAATTCATGTAAAGTTCCACATTAAGTTTTCCTACACTTATTAACTGTATGGTTTCCTCATTTTAAAAGCTTTTAGCAAATAATAAAACAAATTTGGTTAACTTTTTAGCATTTTCGTAACGTTTATTTAAATTTTTTAGAATGTTTTTTTTTTTTTTAATTATATTTTTACTCATTAAATAAGACCCTGATCCCTTACTTCTCTTTCTTAATGTTTATTGAACAAGTAGAAAATAGATACTTTAATTAAATGGAATCATTTTTAACTCAGGAGTTTTTACCAAGCAAAACAGATTTGCTAGTATAAATATACATATTATAGTGAAATAAAAAACATTTTCAGCCATTTTATTAAAAATTAACAAAATTTAATATTGATTTTTGTCGTTATCTTAAACTCTTGTTGTCCGATAAAAAATCAAAAAATAAAGATTAATCAAATGAAGAAAAGATTCAGGTCATGATAAGTCAAGTCCAAGCTAATCGTTTATATACTTATTACTAAAAATCTATTTTAAGGCTTTAGTAAATATTAGAAAAACTTTTGTTTCAATATGTTGTTTTTGCTTGTTGTAGCATTAACAATGATATAAATCTTTCTGGAACAATAACTATAATAATGTTCTAAACTAGTTGTTCAAATCCGTGAAACAGTTTAATTAAAATTCAACATTAATTTTTCCAACACTTATTTTTTCTACGATTTCTTTATTTTAAAAGCTTTTTGTAAACTGTTAAAACAATTGGTTAAATTCTTGGCATTTTTGTGACGTTTCTCTAAAAATTTATGAATTTTTTTAATTTATTTTATATTTTACACCTTAATTAAAACCCTAAACCCTCAAATCATTTTTTAATTTTTAGTCGACAGGTGGAAAAAATACATTTTATTTAAAAGAAATCAAAATTTACCTAACGAATTTCTACTAAAAGATTAAAAAGCGAAACAGATTTGCAAGTATGAATATACATATTATAGTAAAAATAATAAAATTATTCAGCCGTTTTAATATAAATTAACAAAATAAAATAATCGTCTTTATCGTTATCTTGAAATCGTACTGTCCGATAAAAAAATTAAAAAAAAAAAGATTGACTACGGGTAATGACGAATAATGACCCGGAGTGATCCGGGTCATGATTCGTCAAATCCAAACTAATCGTTTATATACTTATTATATATAGTCTATGACAATACTCTAGCAATAAATAAAAAACATTAATACAGATGGCCTTTAAGTTAACAATTAGAATTCTATACTTTTTTTTATTAAACGAAGGCCAGGTTTTTTTTAATCTGGTCCCCGTTTAAAAATATTCGAAAAAGTTTAGTTTTGCTTAAGGTTTTGTTTTTGATGTAAAGATTTTTTTTTAATACATAAAGTATGGAGATTCATTAAAAATTTAACAAGTTACATTCTTTTATAACAGTAGCTGTCTCGACCCGTAAAACGTGTTGAATTTAACTTACGATGGTTATTTCAATGTAAATCTTTATATGGTCTCTCTTAACGCAAAGGGGTTAAGTTAGAAGTTTCAAAGAGTTTCTGAGACATATGTCTTCATTTTTGTTAATTTTTATTATCCTAAATATTTTGAAGTATTTGAGCACATTATATTTATTCAGTTTTATTCTTTATTTATTCTTACAAGTTGCACTTTTGAGAGTATCAGGTTTTGATTAGTTTTTTTTTTGATTTTTTGCAAAGTTGTTGGGTAAGCCTTTTTCTTTTTTGTAAAAAAAAAAAATAATAATAATAATAACAAAAGTTACAATGATCACGTGATCGGTGTGTCTGCCAAAACTGTTATTTCTATTTTCATTTATTATAAAGGCATCTATATTTGTTTATATTTCAGAAAAAATGAAGTTTTTCAGAGTAAATATGATGCGTTCTATCCTTTTTATATCATTATCAGTATAGTATAATTAATTTATTTCTTACAAGTATTATATATAAGTGTAAAAAAGATATATAATATAATACTTTTTTTGTAAAGCCTTTAGTAAACTAAAAGATATATAATATAATATTTTGTTTTTGTTAACTTTGACATATCATTTAGAAAAATCAAAGTCATCAGAAATAGAAACCAAAACTTCTATTCAGAAAGGTACTTATATTTTTAGTTTAGTTAAATTTACTTAACATTTTTAATATTTTCAAAGAATAAGACAAACTCTGGTGTCAATTTGATTTATATTCAAATATGTTGTTTAAATCATGTTGTTTGATAAAATATCTAAGTAAAAATATATTTAAATAAAGGTGTGATCCGTTTTATAATACGTCAAGTCCAAACTAACCATTTATAACCTTACTCTTTATAGTCTATTAAAAGATTTCAGTATTCAATTGAAATTATTGAGACATATGGGCTTTAAGTTAACAATTAAAATTCTATACTTTTTTAATTTTAACTGCTTAAATTTAATAACCTAATATGTAACTGGGGTGTTCGCTTTTAGTTTTTTAAACTTGGCCTTCATTTAATTATTTTCAAAAAGGCTTAGTTTTTCAAAAGATTTTCTTTTTGATGTATACTTATATGTATTTTTTAAATGTGTTTCGAATGCTATTAAACTAATTAGTTAGATGAATATGTTATAAATTGAAACATATATAATTCCATATTGACTAAGGAATATTACTAAATCTTTTTTTTTGTGTGTTTTTCTAAACTAAAATAATTTTATTTTTTTTATTTATGACCCTTCGGTTTTCATCTAAATATTTTTAAAAAATCATAATGCATAAAGTAAGAAGATATATAAAAAAACTTTACAAGTTTCATTCTTTTATAACAATAGTTGTTTTGATTCGCAAAACGGGTCGTGATAAGCTTAATTTATGCCTGTTATTTCTATATATTTCTTCAAAAGGTCTCTCTTAACACGCAAGGAATATAATTTGGAAGTTTTGACAAATTTCTGAAAAATTTGTTTTCATTTTTGACATTTTTTGATATCCTAAACATTTTAAAGTATTTGAGCACATTATATATATTTAGTTTTTGTTCAAAGTGCCCAAAAGAAAATTTTAAGTTGTGGTTAGTTTTATGCAAAACCATTCGTTAAGGATTTTTGGTTTTGTGAAAAAATAAATAAAAAAAACAAAGTTTACAATGATCACGAAGTCGTTGCGTCTGCCATAATTGTTATTTATATTTATTTTTATTTTTGAAACATGTAGTTTTAAGAGAAAATATCATGCCTTTTAGTCAAATTATACCGTTATCAGTATAGTTTGTTTATTTTTACTGTTTACAAATAATATATACAGGTATCAAAAAGATAATTAACAAAACACTTTGTTTGTTAACGTTGAGATATCATTTAGAAAAATCAAAGTCATCAGAAATAGAAACCAAAAATTTTGTTGAGAAAAGTACTAATATCGTGTAATTTAGTTAAGTTTACCTAATATTTTCATTATTTAAAAAAAATATAAAAAAATCTTTAGTTTCAATTTGTTGTGTTTGCTTTATGTAACATTAACTATGATTTAGAATCTTAACTAGCTGTTAGGACCCGTAAAACAGTTAATGTAAAATTCTTCACTAATTTTTCCTACACTAATTTTTTGTATATTTTTCTCTTTAAAAAAGCTTTTATAAAATAATAAAATACAATTGCTTAATTTTTTCTCATTTTTACGACGTTTCTCTCAAATTTTTAGATTGTTCTTGTTGTTTTTTTTTATTTTTTTGACACAATGGAGAGTCCTAGCTCATTTTCATTTTCAACCATATTTTCAAGCATATATTTAAGTTAATATATGACTCGTTTTCAAGCATAGTGTGGTTAAATATTATAACTAAAAAATAAATTTTTAAATTAGTTTTTAGATTTAAAAAATAGTATCAATTTTGTTTCTATTGTGTGACGTCACTATTCACGTGATTTTTGTTTTGCTCTTGTGCGCACGCGCTTGGGATTTATGAAATCTGGATTGTTAAACAACAATCTAATCTTTTACAGCATATAATTCTAGCTCTGTTGCAACAAATGGATGAGTACTATTTTAGATATAATCATCGAATATTAGAAAAGCAGATTGATAATTATTTACATAGTTTATATTTTGATACACAGGTGCCCACCAGTTATTTGCAGATGTGTCTAGTGTAAGTACTGCTCTATTAGTCATTGAGCTTTTTGGACATGTTAAATTTAATCCAGAAAATCCATTACCTGCATTTGTAGCTCCAAATGGTGTATCTGTTGATATGAGTTGTGCAACATTTTGATGAGCCATAGACATCATTGGAAGGAATGCTTGTTTAAATCTAATACTATTCCATACACCATTAATTTTATATTTAAGTCTATATTTATAATAACCATCGTTATTTTTATACTGTTAATTAGTAAACAATAAACTATACATTGAAGCAGTAGATGCAGTAGAATTATATACTCTATAAGCGCTATAATAATTGTTAGGAAACAAATTTCCAGCAACTTGTCTAACTAACAGTACTTCTCCAGAAGTATATGGAGCACCATATTCGCCATCATCTGTACTATTCATTGCAAATGATATTGCTTCAAAAAAATTGTTTGCTAAAAATATTTGTTGTTTTGAGACATAATGTACTCCATCGAAATTTGCACTCCTAAGATTGGGAGGCATACCATCTAGAGATATATTAGCTGTATATCGAGAATAATTTTTATTATTTCCTAATGCATTTTGAACTTGAGTTGCTGTAGTTGAATTTGCTAAAACAAATGTAGGTAACAATAGAAATGTAAGGAACAGCATTTGATTAGCTTTTATTTTTGAGTTTGGTAATGTATCAAATTGGTTATATGAGTATGTAATATAATCTCTTATTTGTTTGTATAAAAGTCATTAGAATATATGCGTAATAATCACACCAACCATCCATAGAATCTGCTGCTCCTTGACTCCAAGTCATACAGCAAAACTCTGCGTTATAATGTGATGAAATTTATCTGATTCTATGAGATAAATCTTTACAACCATTTCCATATGGCATAAAATAATCATTACTGAAACCTTGACTTTGAAGCATACATGGAAGTATCATTAAACATTCATCTGGATTTATCATATTTAATTTATTAGCACCTGCAGCATCTTGCATTATTAAACCAACTATAATTGATCCATATCCTGCCATACAAACATTATCTGACTCATTTACATCTAGTCTCAATGAACAAGGAAGTAACACATCATTTGTTCATTATCCATTGCAAATTGAACTATTCGACTGTTCATATAATTTACATTAGTTATTGATTGAGATAAACCCCATTTTCTACCACAATATGTATTTGATTGACCGGCTACAATCAAAACTTTATATTTATGTGGATAAGGAATTAAGCGATCAACATAATTCTTTGTTGCTGCATCTTATGTATTAGTAGGATCTGCTGCATTGATGAGTTTATGTGTAATTAAATTAATGTTAGCAGTTGCACTATTTTGTTCATCTGTTCTAATATATAAATTACATAGATTTTGTGTAGTATAATCAACATAATTCTTTGTAGCAGCATCTTGTAAGTTAGTAGGATCTACTACATTGATAAGTTTATGTGTATTTAAATTAATGTTAGCAGTTGCATTGTTGCTTCCATCTATTTTTAGATAGGAACTGCTAAAAGTTTGATTATTATCTACATAATTCTTTGTTGCTGCATCTTGTGCATTAGTAGGAACTGCTAAATTTATTATTTTATTTGTATTCAAATCAACATCAGAAGTTGCTTTATTGTCTATATTAATATTGATATTTACTCCATCTGTTGTGTAACCATAAGCAGATAGTCCATACATTGAACTACTACCAGCTATGTTCATACTCATTTTTATATACTCATTTTTTTTTATTTGGATTATTTTATTAAATTATCTAGACTTCGTTAAGCAACTTCTTAAATCTATTTTAAGAGAATTTTCAACACTTTCAAAATCAACTCCTACATCTAGCTTTTTTAATCTCCAAACTGAACTCTTCTACTATTATAATAAACAGGATTGTGTAAATATTGAACAAGTTCAACTGGAGGTGGTAGTGCATAAGAGGCAAAACTTAAATTCTCATCTCCATTTTTATACCAACAAATCCAATGAAACCCATTCGTACTTGAATCTCCAGTATTTAATATTCCACATTCTTTTTTTTTGTGTATTTTTAGGTAATTCATCTCTTACAAATACACCTCTAAAACTTTTTACTTTTAATTTTTTTGCTGCTTTTGTTAACTGAAAGTTTGTTAAGGGTTCATTTGGTAGTATGATTCCTTCAAGATTGATATGTTTGTCCATTTTTAATAATAGTTTTGGATTTTTTAAAATCATTTTAAAAATTACTTGCTTGCCTGGCTGTTTGTTTATTTATTTTTTTTAGTTTATAATGCCCATATGCTAATGTATGTATAACATCTTCTAAAATAACTCTTTTATCATCTTCTGCGCTGAGTGTTATTTTGTTTATTTCTTCTGTATAAACATCATGTAAATGTGATCTTATGACATTCATTTTTTTCATTTGATTTTTTCTATTCATGAGGCGATCTTTATAATCTTTATGTGTTATAAAATTTTTAACTACATTTTTCTTTACTCCCTTACATCTCTTTTTATCTTCTCCATTCATCTTGTAAGAGTACAATTTTGATCTGAGTCCTATAAGCTCTTCAATTCGTTTTCCTGCAGATTCATCTTTAAACATTCCTAATACTTTCTTATTAAGTCCTACTTTAAATCCATTTTTAACAGCTGGGTGATTTTTGTCAAATTTGCTTGTATCAAATTTACTTTCAATGTCATTTGCAATATCTGAATAAAAGTCTTCTGTCTTTATTTCGTATGCTAATGAATCTGTGTCTGTGAATAAGAGCTTAGCTCTATCACCATAATTACTTTTTATGTAATCGTAATGAAACTCATACATCAAAGTCTTGCTTAAATCTAAAATTCATATACCCAAATAAATAGGTTTCTTATAAACTAGTTTTGTTCTTTTCATATGTATTGCTATTAAACTTTCATCAAATATAGTCCTACTTTCATAGTTTGGTTTTAATACTAACTTAATAGCTTCTTCTCTTTTAGTGACTAATCTCACATCAA